TGGGCAGGGGTGTAAATAAAGGTCAAGAGAGGAAGAGATGTGTTGTTTTGTACAGTTCTGTGAGTTGTCTTTTTTTTTTTTCGAAGACAAGTTTGCTGTCTGTCACCCAGGCTGGAGTGCAGTGGCTTGATCATAACTCACTGCAGCCTGGAATTCCTGGGCTCAAGGGATCCTCCTGCCTCAGCTGCCTCAGTAGCGACTGGTCTCAAACCCTTAGGCTCAAGCACTCCTCCCACCTCAGCCTCCCCAAGTGCTGAAATTACAGGCATCAGCCACTGCGCCTGGCCCAGTTTTATGTTTTTACATGTGCTTATAACTTAGCAGTACATAATTTCCATTACTCCGTGCTCCAGTAGCTGCGGGAGAGAGAGGCACTGTTTGGGAAAGGGCACGTCAGTGTGTATCCCAACCCGGAAGCTATATTCTCTGCTCTTATAGTGACCCTGTCCATGCCCTGGTTGGGAATCAACTTGAAATTAACAACTCTAGATTTTTTTAAAAATTTACTAATATGTATCTCAAAATTTCACAGCACAACTCATGTTCGAAGCCATGTTTTGGGGTGTCCTAATTCTACCTACCCATCTCACTTGCTGTTCCCATGGCAGCTGTGCCCTACCAACGGATTGAGTGTCTGGTTGTCACCTGTCCATGACACCCTCCCAGCCCATGCAGGACCGCTCTCTGGGGGCTCTGCAGCAAGCCTCGATGCACTGTGGACCAGCTGGCTGTGTCCCAGGAGTTCTTGGGGACCTGGCTGTCTCCTGATGTGATTTAAAGTTTGAGTTATTGGTGACATTAATGGAACTGCTCCGGAAGTGGAAAATCCCCAATATATGTGTTCTGTGCCCTTTTAGAGAAAAGGAAGAGCTTAGGGGTGGGGAGGAGTATTCTTTGTTTTCATTGCCTAATATATTTCCCAAAATGATCCCCAATTCTAACATTTAGGCCTGGGAGGAAAATTCCCAAATAAGTTGTAATGATCTGAAATCTTAGCCAGCGGGAGCAGAGGGAAAAATGTTGGTAATCTGCTATCTTTTTTATCACATAACAGTAAAACTTTATTTTTGCTATGAGACTTTATTTTTAGGGTGGTGAATAGTCTCTGTAGAGGGTGATGGCTTCATTTTTATCCTCTCTGTAAAATGGTAATGCATTATGCACATACTATACTGCGTTAATATTTCTGCCATTAGTAACTTCTCATATATGAGAAAGTTAAACAATATCTATCTTAAAATAATGTTTTGTCTTATGTTGTATACTTTGAGAGTGTTTTAGAAAAATCCGTCTGTCCTCCCTAATGTTACATAATTTTTTTTCTGCATAAATTAGACTTTATTACTTTTTCCCTACCAGAAATCTTAGATCTCGGGGCATTTTTTATGAATGATGGAGAACATTTGGTGCTTTATCTGGAGAGACGGAGAGATGTAACTATTGGCCATAGAAAAAAAAAATTTAAGGGTAGTCAGTGTTCCCTGGACTAGGTTTCATTTGTGTTTTAATACACTTCGCCATTAGATGGTAGCACAGTAACAGACATAACAATTTAGGGGTAGAGGCACGGTCTCATCCCCCATTTTAAATAAGATCAGAAAGGTCTAAGTTGGTTTAGTAGAACCATCAGATGGTGTTCGTCAATCCCAACACCATAGATTTGGGCCTGGGACTTTGGTCCTAAGACTCTGTGGCAAGTCAGATTGTGGGTGAATGTTATAAACAGGAGCATTGGTTTCAGTTTGCCCTGTTACCTCCAGATCTGGGATAATTATTATTTAAGTCTAAGAATGCCTGGATGGGTTGGGGGTGTTTTGAGACTCCTTGGCACAGCTTTTGGTTTCTCTTTTTCTCCTCTCTCCTCCCCTCCCCTCCCCTCTTTCTTTTCTTTCTTTTCTTTTTTCTTTTCTTTTCTTTTTTTCTTTCTTTCTTTCTTTCTTTCTTTCTTTCTTTCTTTCTTTCTTTCTTTCTCTCTCCCCTCCCTCCTCTCTTTCTTTTCTTTTCTTTTCTTTTTGTCTTTCTTTCTTTCTTTCTTTCTTTCTCTTTCTTTCTTTCTTTCTTTCTTTCTTCCTTTCTTTCTTTCTTTCTTTCTTTCTTTCTTTCTTTCTTTCTTTCTTCCTTCCTTTCTTCCTTTTCTTTCTTTTCTTTCTCCTCCTTCTCTCTCTCTGTTTCTTTCTTTCAACAGGGTCTTGCTCTGTCACTCAGGCTGGAGTGCAGGGGTGGGATCACAGCTCACTGCAGCCTCAAACTCCTGGGCTCAAGCGATCCTCCCACCTCAGCCCAGGAGTAGCTAGGACAATGGGCACACATCCTCACACCTAGCTAAGCTCTCAAAATGTGGATGTCAAAATATTATTTTATTTTATTATTTATTATTACCTCATGACATAGCTACTGTTTATCCAACATTCAAATTAAATACATTTCTTTGAATTAGTATTGAATTTTCTCTTCCTTGTGTCTATACTTTCCTAAATTGATGTTTAAAAAACAAGCAAGGCCAGTGTTTGGCAACTTCTCTCCCACATCATTTGTGACCTGGGAAAGGGAAAAATGGCTCTTCTCCAGCCTATCGGTTTCAAGGGTCAGCTGCCCTTTGACATCAATGTCTTCCTGTCTCCTGCAGTGTCATAAGGTATCATTAACAGGAATTCTGTGTCCCAAGGGGACAAAAGAAAACCAGGTCAAGGGAACTTGCATGGAAACTTAAACGTTTTAAAGAATGGCAAATTTGGCTTCATTTAACATAATTGAAAGACTCTCTAACAGTGTTGGAAAGCTAATGGGGCTATACATGGCTGACAGAAATAGAAAAGAATCCAACTCGACCTAGTTTCCGTAAAGATAATGAGTCCAAGAAGAAAACAATCTGGAGAAATAGAGAAAACAGAGCAGATTTGATTTACAAACATTTTCCTGTTTTTGGAATTACGATGATGGAGTCTCAGTGGGGCTCCATGGGTCCTAGACTTGCCAGGGCAATTCATTCCACCTCTGTGGGACCCCTGCATCCTTGCCCCCAGCACAGTTAATGCTCCTTTAGGAGCTTGGCACTGCCAATCCCTCATTCATTGGGCCATTGCTACAGGATGTTTCACTGTTAACTCACAGGCTTCTCCCTCTTCCCCTACCTTCTCCAGGGACCATCATAACTGTCACAGTCAGAAACCGGCTCTCTACATCCCGAGTCTGGGGCTCTCACCAATTCTCCTAGACTGGATAAATCCCCACTACTGCAAGTAGAGTTACCAGCCAGATGAGCAAAGACCTAGACTGCCTACTGGGGGCAGCCCTGCCTCAGTGGGCCACTCTCTAGCCACCTAGCCTGTGTCCCCATTCTGAGGAACACAGACCCACTCATCTCCTTCACCTGTTAGAAAATTACTTTTACTGGCCGGTCATGGTGGCTCACGCCTACAATACCAGCACTTTGGGAGGCCGAGGTAGGTGGATCTCCTGAGGTCAGGAGTTCACGACCAGCCTGGCCAATATAGTGAAACCCCATCTCTACTAAAAATAGAAAAATTAGCTGGGCGCGGTGGAGAGCACCTGTAATCCCAGCTACTTGGGAGGCTGAGGCAGGAGAATTGTTTGAACCTGGGATGCGGAGGTTGCAGTGAGCCAAGACCATGCCACTGCACTCCAGCCTGGGCAACAAGAGCAAAACTCCGTCTCAAAAAAAAAAAAAAAATTACTTTTCCTGAGGCCAGGTGCAGTGGCTCAAACCTATAATCCCAGCAGTTCAGGAGGCCGAAGAGGGCAGATCACCTGAGTTCAGGAGTTTGAGACCAGCTTGGCCAAAATGGTGAAACCCCGTCTCTACTAAAAGTATATTTTAAAAAATAAAAAGAAAAAAGAAAATTTCTTTTCCTAGAAAACAGATGCTTCCTCCAGGCCCTTGGAAGTCTGTCGTCTTCCTTCAGCATACTTTTGCTGACTACCCCTGGGGATATTCCTAGGTGAAACGAAGCCTCTGCCCATCCACCCTCTTTCTATCGTGGCTCTGACTGGGAACCTTATCTTCCAGCCATGTCATATGAAGGATCTGGATATAGAAATATATAGCAGTATGATTTACTACATTTATAACTGCATGCAGTGCTATGCTGGTAAATGTTAGTAACCAGAGTTGCCTGGGGAAGGGAGAAGAGAAAACTCTAACTTGTAGCATTTGCTTATTTCCGTGTGTAAATACTCTGGATCTGCATTTGGGGAACTCCTATGAAAGCAGTCTTGGCAGAGGAGGTAGGTGGAGGAGAAAACAGGGCTGCATTTAGGAAAGAATAGCACTTCCAGAGAGCTGGGACCAACAGATGGAAGCCTCATGGCAGAGACAGCCAGCTGGGAGACATTCTAAATTCAATCAAAGCCTGGGGAGCTGAGATGGACGGGACAATTGTATCAGGGAGAGCCTGGTAAGAACTGTGTCTCCTGAGCTCTGCGCTTTCCTATAGGATGGGCATGGGAAGTGCTGGAAAGCCTCTTCGTTAAATGAATATTGAAGTGTTAATATTCTGGATTCTTGGCCCAGATATTGAATTTCTTTTATTTTCCTTTTTTTCTGAGACAGAATCTTGCTCTGTCACCCCGACTGGCATGCAGTGGTGCAATCATGGGTCATTTGCAGCCTCGACCTCCTGGGCTCAAGTGATTCTCCCACCTTAGCCTCCTGAGTAGCTGGGACTACAGATGCTCACCACCATGCCTGGCTAATTTTTGTATTTTTAGTAGAGATAGGGTTTCGCCATGTTGCCCAGGCTGGTCTCAAGCTCCTGGGATCAAGTGATCCTCCCACCTCAGCCTCCCAAAGTGCTGAGATTGCAGGCATGAGCTACCATGCCTAGCCCCTAAGCGATCCTTCCTTCCTTTCTTTATTTTTCCTCTAGGTGAATAACTTTATTAACCTTTGTTTCAAACTTTGTTCCCAGGCTGCTTCTGCTTAATTAACTGCAAAGAATGAATTGTGTATAAGCAAAAACTGAGAAGAGTTTCAGTGTCCAAGGGGCTTGGGCTTAAAAATATTAGAGATCTAGATTTTATCAGATCCATAAACAAAAAATTATTTAAAAGCAGTCATAATATAAAATAGCATCTCCCAGTAACTTCTTCAAGTTTTATCTTCAGAAGTTGATTCAATTCAGTTTGCCTCATTCTTGGAAGCCTCATCAAAATTCTCCACAAGACGTGGAACTTCATCATCATCATCCTCCTCCTCCTCTCCAGTACCAAGTGGTGCTTTTCCATCCACAGATTGTTTGGGCAGAGCTTCAGCCAGTCTCCTTAAACTAGTCAGACTGACTGCAGTAAGCTGGTTTAAGACGCTGGTTAGCGTTTCTGTCAGCTGCTTTGTCTCAGCATGGCCTGTAATGGTGAAAGTGTTCACTGCCAGAGATGCCTGAACTTCAGGGTTATTAAACTGGATCATTGTTCCTTGGAGTTTTTCCTGGTTCATGATTCTTTCATCTTGTCTGAGTGGATAAGGGGCTGCACGGGGGACTAGGGTTGGTGCTCGGGGGTCTTGGATGGACCAGCTGAGATTAGGCGCATACACGCGGGGACGCAAGATGGCAGCTAAAGCCTTTCTTTTTTTTTTTTTCTTTCTGTCTCTCTCTCCCCTCTCTCTCTTTCCCCGCTCCCTTCCCCTCCTATCCCCTCCCCTTCGCTTCACTTCCCTTTCCTTTCTGTCGCTCTGTTACCCAGGCTGGAGTGCACTGGCATGATCATAGCTTACTACAACTTTGAACTCCCGGGCTCAAGCCATCCTCCCACCTCAGCTGGGACTACAGCCAGCCATGCACCACCATGCCCAGCTGTTTGTAAATTTTTTTTTAGAAAAGGGGTCTCACTTTGTTACCCAGGCTAGTCTTGAACTCCTGGTCTCTAGTGATCCTCTCTCCTCAGCCTCCCAAATCGCTGAGATTATAGGTGTGCTCCACCATGCCAGACTCAGACACTTAATATCTCTGATGAGACTGTATTTTGTGATTTAAAATGCCCATAGAATGATCTAATACCTTAGAGTGAGCAGAAAAATTCTGGAGTCCTCATAATTTTTATCTAATGGCAGGAAAGAGCTTTCCTCATGGAATAAATTTTGAAGGAGCAGTGGGTAACAAAAATAAAGTTGCTTTTTGATCACATCCCATGGGCAGTGCTGGTCCAACAAATAGATTTGGTGGTTAATGGTGATCGTCAGGCCTCCTAAAACCAACCTAATCTTCAGGGTTCCTTGCTGTGGGCCTAGTGGGAGCATAGCCATCTGGGAGGAGTGGGTGAGCCCAACTCATTCTGTGGGAGGGGGTGCTTCAACAGACTTGGATTGAGGTAAAGGCTGAATTTTAAAATGTATCTTTTAATAAGATGATATATTTGCAGACAGAGTTATTGCCCATGTCCAGACTTTATGGGACAGATTCCTACTCCTACTTGGTTTTTGTTGTCATTGTTGTTGTTTTGTTTGTTTTGAGACAGGGTCTCATCTGTTGCCCAGGTTGGAGTACAATGGCACAATCACTGCTCACTGCAGCCTTGACCTCCCCAGAGTTAGGCGATCCTCTTGCCTCAGCCTCCTGAGTAGCTGGGACTACAGGGTTGCACCACCACACTCAGCTAATTTTTGTATATTTTGTAGAGACAGGATTTTGCCATGTTGTCCAGGCTGGTCTCAAACTCCTGGACTCAAGTGATGTGCTCATCTCAGCCTCCCAAAGTGCTGATATTATAGGCGTGAGCCACCATGCCCGGCCCTCACTCCCATTTGTGATTTGTGCAGAATCTTCTCCCAGCCCCTCACATGACTCATGAAGGGTGAGAATTTTCCCCTAAAGTCTCCTCCAGAAGCCCACACTAGAATCTGCCACACTAACCACATTTCATCGTGTGATGCTTCAGAAGGAATTAGAATGAGTTATAGCCATGCTTGCAGGCAGACAGTGGGTCCAGTTTGGAGAATCTGACCCCAGTGACAAGTCCAGCTCCTTAGGGATTTTTCTTAATTTTTAGTTTTTTGTAGAGATAGGGTCTCACTATGTTGCCCAGGCTGATATAAAACTCCTGGCATCAAATGATCCTCCCACTTTGGCCTCCCAAAGTGCTGGGATTACAGGCATGAGCCACCATGCCCAGCCCTCCTTAGGGACCTTGACAAAAGATGTTAATGGAAAACTGAATTAAGGTCCAACATGCTTATATATTTTGCCAGGTTTCTTGAAGCTCCAGAAGTCTTTGATTCTGTGTCTTCTTGGCTGCAGCACAGTCTAAGGGTCAGAATTTTTGCCATTCTCCAGGCGGTGTAATGTTTGCACTGTGTGTGTGTGCCTGTTCTGTGAGCTGCCACTGCCACCGCTGCAGGCTGCAGCTGGTGTTGACGGTGCAGAAGTGCTGAGTCACTGGCTGTTTAGCGACCCTTACATCACGTTCCATTGTCCTTTCTTCCTTTCTAGGCTTTGAGAGCCCTTTCAGTGTTTTTATTTTGTTTTGTTTTTGTCCAGGGCCTCTCCCTGGTAGGAAATCAGGGTGTGAAAACTGAGAGGGTGCTGGGGCTCCGGAACAAAGCTGCGCAGAAGGATAATGGGTCCCTGCAGGCTGCTGAGGACACCCAGCAACCCAAATTCACGTGCTGGAGGCACACCAGGGCCCTGGGCCAGCCCCAGCCGGCCCCGGAGCCCCAGGGTGGGCTCTGACTCACATTTTTCTGCAGCTCTCCCTGCTGTGCTGGTTTCAACTGGAGCTGAGGAGTTTAACAATCTCTTTATATGTTCTGAATCCAACATTCTTTGTGCCCGTTTTAGCACAAGTGTAACAGGTGGTGCTAATTATCAGTGTGACATAAATTCTTGGAGAGGTAGCCTCTGGAGAGGGCTATACAGATTTTTTAAGTGACTATTTTGACCCAACATGCTTGTCACTTTATTACAGTTGTTTTGTTATTTAAAAAAATTTATTTATTGTGGAAACATTGGGGAAAAAACAAAACATCATAAAGAATGAAGTAAAGGTTATTCGTATTCCACTACCCAGAGATGATCACATTTTGATATATAATCTTCTAATATTTTTTCTAAATATAGATTGATATGTACTGCATAATTGGGCCCACATTGCGCATTTTATTTAAACTGAGAAATATGCTGTGAATACACTCTTACGTCATTTAGCTATATTCTAGAAGTGCTGCAAATTAATGCAGTATGAGCAGAGAGATAAGATACATCTTGGATTGTTTTATTTGCTGTCAGTTCATTTCTGTTTGCAGGATCTTTCTCTTGCCAGAATAGCCTCATTTACAAGTCCCATCCCTTCCTGTCCCTTCTTCCCACCCCTGCAAGTAGCTAAAGCATTTTCTCAGGTAATCATCCCACACTCTCTCTGCTTTTTTTTTTTTTTTTTTTTTTTTTTTTTTTTGGTATATAAACTGTTTATTAACAGACAAGGCCTACAGACTTATTCATTCTTGGACACACCCACAGTTCAGCCATGGCAGCCAGTGGTCTTGCTGTGCTGGCGTCAGACAGGAAGGCCCCAGAGGTGGCAAAACCCTCTATGGGCCTGAATCTTCTTCAGACACTCCGGCTCTTCACAGAGTTTGTCGTCTGTTGGCTAGGATCTGCCTATATTTTCCAACCTTTACATACTTCTGTCTGTTCAGGAACCAGTCTGGGATCTTGTACTGGCATGGATCCTGCATAATGGTGATCACATGTTCCACCTCATCCTCAGTGAGTTCTCCTGCCCTCTTGGTGAGGTCAGTGTCTGCTTTCCTCAACACCACATGAGCATATCTTCAACCCACAGCCTTAATGGCAGTGATGGCAAAGGTTTTTTTTTCTGCTGCCCACCGATGCTGGTGTTGAGTACTCGCAAAATATGCTGGAACTCTTCAGGGATCACTAGAGACATGACGGCCGCAGAGGCAGCAGCGTGTAGGCCTCTTGTGGAGGAAAATCTCTGCTTTTTAAAAAATGCTTTCTGGGAAGCCCTAGGACCAGCTAAGATCTATCTGGCTCAGTAGTTCTCAATCTTGAGCTCATATCAGAATCTCCTGGAAGGCTTGTCAAAGGAGATTGCTGGGCTTCACCCCTGGAGTTTCAGTAGGGCTGGGGTGGTAGACAAGTTCCCAGGCAAATGTTGCTCATGCTGGTTCACTACTGAGAACCACTGATTTGGGGGAATGGATGAACAATTTGCTTCCTCCAAGCCCTCTCCCAGTGTTCCTTGGCTACTTGTCTTTTTCCCTTAGACCATTTATTTTGTCTCCAAATTCGTTGCTTATAACCACTCCCTATGCTGTCTTCTCGTGGTGTCACTCATGCATACAAAGGACAGAAATATTTTCTTAATGGAGAGCTGGAATCCAAAGGGTTCAAGGAGTCTCCCAGTACCCGTGAGAGTAGAAGCCAGTGTGATTTGTCCTTCCCTGTCACTGCAGCAGTCTCCTGAAGAGCTGGCTCAAAAGGAAATGCACAGATGCCCAGACTATTTGTTAAAGGAAATGACACATTATCCTCTTCCCAACATCTGGTCATTCCTGAAAGACAGTCAAGCCCCGATAATACTGTTGACTCACTAGAAGCCTGTGTCTTCTTTCCCGAGGGAGGTGGAGACAAACCAAGCAGGATAGAATCTATTTTTGTGTCGGCCCAAGGGGACGCCTTGGGGAGGGGGTGAAGGGTCACCCACATTGCTGTTCTGTTCTGGGAGCCAGGAATGCATACTTCTTCCTGTCCAGCCCTGAGCAACCGTCTCTTTCTTAAGCCTCAGATCCTCCACAGAGAGCTGGAAAGATTTTTAAATGCCATGGTGGGCTGGAATGGCTGGACACCAGCGTAAACGGACTGATGAAATGGGAAGAGGAGATTTGGCAGGACACAGGGTGTTGAGGTTGCAGCAAAGGCAAGAGAGCTGTGTTGGGTTGAGTGACTGTCATACTGTGCAGTCCAGGCTCAGAAGGACTCTGGCTGCATCTGGCTGCCTCTTGATTAGGAAATGCATGTATTTGTTTTCATCTCTAAGGCATCTTCTAGAGGCTAAATATGGAGAAAGAATAAGAGGGGTGTGAGTAGAGTGTCTGGTTAATTAACCTGGAGGACTTGCCCAGGTTGACTTTGCACAGGTAAGGAGAAGTAATACCCTGAAATCTACCGGGAGATCCAAGGGGACCCCCCTCCAGCCTCTCAACCAGTGGAGTAAGTGAAGCTGAGTTCTGAGAGAAGGAAGTTGTGTTCTCATTAAACTAATAGAGGGCCTCCTGGACTAGGGAGGGGATGGGGAGAGGTGGGGAGGGCACCTTTGCCTTTGGATCTAAGGGCATTTATTGTGCCAGGCCTTTGTTTTGTTCCAGGCAGGGCACTCTGGCAAAGGCATCCTGGGAATTTGGCCTGCAAACAGAAAGGGCATTTCCTTGTGTTGGTTTCCTGTTTAGGTCTGCGTAGAAACCCAAAGGATCGCTTGGCCTTATAAATCCTCTAGACATTACTGGTATAGATGCTCTGGCCGGATGCCATGGGAAAATCGCACAGAAATAGAAGAAAGGAGGAAGGCACATTTACTCTCAGGATGCTGGATGGGTTTCAGGCTCC